ATGGGTTGTCATCAACGATGGAAAGAACGGCATGGAGAATGGCGGGGTGGGCAACGGCAGCTTCCTGAAGGATTTCAACTAATCGGGATTTCGTGAAGGAGTGCAAAATGTTGTGAAGGATTTGTTTTTCTTGGTTTTCGACGTTCAATGAAGCTTCAAGTTTTCTGGTTTCCTTGAGATCATCAGGATTTGGGTTAGCGGTAACGGTGGAATGCATCTGATGGAGTCGGTGCAGGGAAAATGACTCAAGATTGACTCTAGGAGGAGTGGGTGGAGTGATGGAAGAGCAGCCATTGGAGAGCTTGAGCTTTGAAGAGAATATTCTCTTTCTTTCAGAGTCTAAATCCTTGGAAACCTTGATTTGGTTCATTTCTGCAGTTTGCCGAAGGACAGTAAGAAATCAGAAATCAACCGTTGATCTCTGTGAAAAAATGGATAAGTTCAGCCCGCCTGAGGTGTATGTATTACTAATAGTGGAAAAGTAAAACCCTGGATGGAGTAGATGGCCAAATTGGGAAGAGGGTTGCCGGATGACTAATGTACTAGTAGTATATGGTGAAATTGGCAGGTTCTGGAGGGAGCCGGGGTTGGGGCGGGGGGTATTCTTGGTCTCCAAGTTTTTGCAAATTCGAACAATCTGGTTGCCGTTTGTGCTCTTCACTCAGGAGACGAGGGCATTTTATTTTTGGTGGAACTGACACTACTGATTCAGAAATCACGAGAACTGCTGTTAAAACGCTTGCTGATTAAGTGCCATAGCCCGTCAAGTTGTACTGATCATATCCCATAAACGAGCGGTATCCTCCTGAGTCTAAGATATCAAAGACACTCGACCTTAATTTAAAATACTTCATTCTCCCCGCTGGCACGAAATAGAGCTGGAAACCTGTTAAATACAAAATGCAATACATTAACTCGGTATGTTTCAGCTTAACCCAAGACCAAAACCCATTTCAGTGTGTAAAGGAAAAAGCGTATTCTAGAATTTATGGGTTTATATTTTAAAAACTGTAGTATTATTTTTATATCACCGAATAACGCGAATTTCTTGCAATATTGTCAAAAATAAAAATTGTCCCAAAATTGGTGCTGTTTGAGGGTGGGTTTCGAATTAGGGGTCGCCGCAAATTCGATGTGAGGCTTCCAATAAAAATGCTTTTAATTTTCATTTATTTTTGATTGCTTAAGTTTTCTTTTTTAAAAAAAAAATTTTTGCAAAAGCTTCGCCGCTCATGAAAGGTTTTTCTTCTTCTTTGTTTTCCATGAGTGGCGATTTTTTTTTTTTGTATCGCCACTCCTGAGCGGCGATAGATTCTTTTCTTTTTTTTTTTAATAAAACTAACCAGCGAGGAAGCTTTTTTTTTCATATAACGTAACCTTTTTTTTTAATTAGGGTTTAGGTTTAACGTTTTACCTAACATGAAATCTCAATTTTCAGGTCCTCACAGTGTAACCCTTAATATAAACATAAACCCTTTAACCGTAATCTTAAAATCAAAATCCTTAAACCATATTACTAAAAACCCCATTACTAAAATCCTATTATAAACCAGAATTGTCAAAAATTTAATATGCGATACTATGTTAATTTTATAAATTTAGATGATAATCAAGTATGCTATTAAAATACTAATAAAATTTGCCTAAGTCATATTTTTGAAATTTTTAATGTGAATGTTAATTTAAATAATGCAGCGTTGAACAATATTTATAGGATGTAATAATTAGCATATGAACTTAAATGATAATAAAACAAAAGGTTCGATAAGAAAAATCCAAAAAATCTAAATATCACCTATCAATGCCCCTCTTGCCCTTATCGCGCGAAGTGATAGAACAGCCACATTTGCAATGAATCCTTTCGTGTGATAGAATTTATCCTAATTGTAATCGTTCGAACCTCCGAAGTGGTGCATAAACTTGTTCAAAGCGTGTGGTCGTCATCATTGTCATCATCAACAGAAGGATCGAACACCGGAGTTTGACCGTATCTAAGACAAATATCGCCGCAATTGAGATTTGCGATTTTACTTAAAAAAAATGCCGTTTCACTTTTTAAAAAATTATTTTAGACAATTATTTTGGCCTCAATCTGCATCCATTGATCACATTGTGATCAACGGTCCATAACTGACGCCACCAATCAAATTTGCGGCGTCAGGAAAAAATAAAAAAAAATTTTAAAAAAATGTGCCGCAGACCAGCCTGATCACATCACGATGACTGGTCCCGATGGTAAATGCTTAGCCGCTCATTAGCTTGCCAAACAAACAAAAAACAAAAAAGAGAAAATTGAGAAAACTAAAGCAAGCCAAAAAAAAAAAAAAAACCCGAAGCTTTTGCAAAAAATTAAAAAAAAAAAGAAAACTAAAGCAACTCAAAATAAATGAAAATTAAAAACATTTTTATTGAAAGCCTCGTATCGAAAGTGCGATGATCCTTAAATCAGAAACACTCCCCAAACTACACCAATTTTATAACAACTTTAAATTTTAACAATAATATTCTTAGAAATTCAGCCCGCATAACACATTAACTAATATACGACTTTGTTTGCCCGGTATACAAAACCACACCAAGCCCAAGAAACCCCGCCGCCACATCGCGCCCCCCCCCCCCCCCCAACAAAAAAAAAAAAAAAAAAACCGATAACCAACCGGCATTTGCCATTTGACAATCCAACAATTTTTTTGATATTTTGTTTATTATGTAACGTAGCATGTTTTAACCTTCTGTCATGACCTGCACGACACTACCGAGATTTATTAATTTGCAAATCAAAATCACGAGTGACAAAATTTTGAGAAATTTGAGCTAGCAGCAAGTTCAACCCCTAAACCACAGTGAACGTGGATATTTTTACACATCCCTCTTTGTCCCCACTTCCTCTCTTGTCCATCTGGAGAGCTTTTATCCCGCATCACTAGGAATGAGCCTTTCTAGTCATCCAGTTAACAGCATTGCTGCTTCTGCTGCTGCTTTATTTCTTCAATCAAAAGATGACGCGACTACACAAAAATTCAACATCCATACAATCGACTAGAAGATATTCCAATCTGGGAACATTTTCATATATGGTAACAGATTACATCCGCCCAAGAGTTTCTCGAAATGTACATTACATTCAATGACACTCTTATTCCAGACTTCCTCTATAACCGCCCCATGATGTGATGGTATACTTTCTTCGGGCAAACAAGTCGCCCAGATGATTGGCAAGTTGCCGCGACCTTGATTGCTCCAGCAGATTTATGCAAAGACTGTTTCACAATCTCAAAGAGGAAAGGGACTTCTGAACCTTATAGGATAGCAATTTCAAACATACCCAGATGGGGCCAATATAGCATTAGCCATTGTTAGCCACCCCAAGTCAGTTATATGACCAAAGGGTGATTCCAAAGGACATTTACAGCTTATTATTATAGGACAACGGCATCATCAAGTCATCAAGAAGGGAGTAGCACACTCGGACAATTACCGATTCAGTCATAGGAACACTGTCATGAGAGTAAATCAACAAATAAAGCAACATGGCAGAATTCCCCGTTTACCCAAAAAAGGCACTAGACCGAACAACAACGCTAACAAACTGAAAAGACTATAATGAACCCTCTGACATGTCCATTATTGATGTCACTGGAAACTAGGGAGGAGAGTTTTGGCCACAAATGGAATCACAAACCAGTCAACCTAGAGACAAACGGCAGGGTGCAAATATTTTATTACCCTCTTGAATTCCTGCAGATTTGACGTCTTTTTAGGGTTAGTGTGATAAAATGACTAATGGTACAAAGAAGTGACTCCTAAAATTTCTAATTCATTCTTATTATCAATCTCAAATTTTCTCTGCTTTCTCTTTGCTTTTCCTGTTCTGATTTTTGTTGATCATTTTTCCAGCAGTTTCTGCCTTAGAGATATGAGTTCTCGGTCTTAGATAAAGTCTACATACGACTATTGGCTTACCAACAGGTTTGCTGATGTGTCATCTTCTTTCCAACTTGGGCATCTAAAGAACTTCTCCAAATGATTACCAGTTCAATCTCATCCACTTTCAATAGAAAATTTTCTAAAACAGAGAATGTATACCAACCAACACATTTCACCAAAAGAACATAAGACTAAGAGCTTAAGGTTCCATTTGAAGGAGACAGATGAGAGAGCAGAACTTGAGTAAAACAAAATACCTACAAGCGCCACTTCAATTTCTAAAAACATGTCAACAGGAACACATAACAATTATACCATAGTTTATTTACTAAAAATCCAAAATTCTTCAGAGTTGAAGAATAAATAGCCCGATTAAGAAAGCAAATTCTTAAGGCCAGGCATTAAGATACACCACCTCTCGTGCTAAGCATCAAAAAGATGCATCGGTACTCAGGCTAAGCCACAAAATCTACTCACAGAAATATCTTCTGATGCCTAAATTGTAAATAGAAAACAAAAACTATTAGCAAAATATTGTGTCCAATGATAACAATTCAATTTGACTAGCTTGCTAGAACACTGCATGATTTTTACTCATGTTGAGACCTAGGACAAGCCAATCAGGGGTTGGTTGACCACTCCAAGAAGACACAACTCAAGAACTACAAGAATTTTCCACAAGAATCAGAGTGCAAAAAATACCTGATTAACAAGAAAACTTTCATCCAATTTGTCCACGATAAATGATACCGTCAAGCAATCAGAGTTCAAATGTCAGTGCAACACATAAATGGTTGTCTTTCCAAGTGCAACACATAATTGTATGTTTTTTCACTAGATGAAGATAATTCACTTACCTAACATTTAGCTTCCAACTGAAATTTTCAAAATTTAATGTAGACAATTTTCCTTATCGTGCCTCCGTTTTCATTTCCTCCATTCTTTTTGCCCCAAAGAGAGAAACCAAAAAATGCTCTTTTAGTCTAATTCACCTAATGCACACTCTAACTCACTTCAAAGAAAATTATCAAGGATTTGTATTTGTGGTGGATTACTAGATTACGCCTGGAAGGTGACAACTGTAAATGCAATGTCTAATTGACAGAATACTACACAAGGAAACCAAAAAAGGCAAACAAATACATAAAAAATAACATAGCATCTAAACATATGGCAGATGCTCCAAAGACAGATCAGAACCAATTAAAGTCAAATGCCATAAGCAAAAGTCAGCTGCACCCGCAGCAAAACAAACAACTAAAGTCAAAGTCTAATTCATATCTTTTTCCCTAAAAACACATAGCAATCTAAATAAGTTCGTACAGACTCAAATTGCATAGAAGCTCTAGATCAGAAATACAAAATACTCAGTCACTTAGATTACTAGCATTTCACTTGATGACATCATGAAGCGCAGATGTATCGAAGAGCCAAACTACACAGCAAATCAAAATCATGAAGCCAGAGTTCATATTGTCTGCACGAAATCACCAGAACCATAAAAAGCAACTGCGCCAACAAGCTCTCACACACCTGAACCAAACATCCATTCACAACTTAAAATGTCAATCCACATACACCTTGCAAAACAAAGCTCAAACATCATAAAAACTCAAGAAACAAAAGGCAAGAATTTAAGCCAAGAAGCAGCAGCACCATGACAATATAGAAGTAACCAAACACACCATAATTCTCTCCGACACTAGAGATGATACACCCAAAAAAAAGGGTCTTGTCACAGAGCAAAACAACAATGAGTAGTGACAAAATTCAGACAACCAACAACCAAGCGCAATAAGGAAAAATAAAAAAGGAATTATAATTTCTAGAATACTACAATAACGGTGAGAAAAACTACTGCTGTTGTTACAAAGAGAACGAAGGTTAAAAATATGTAAATCATGCATTATTGAAGATTCACATGAATAGCATAGGTTCATGTGATCAAAGTAGATGCACATAAAATACATATCAAACACAGGTAGAACCAGGAAGAGAATTTGAAGATTTACTGTTGATTACCCCTTTCTTTCAGCTATCAGCTTAAGGCAAAAAATTTGTTAGTTTACAATCCAAATGTTGTAAAAGCATAATTCTCATCCGTAGATGGTGCATAAGAAAAATGAAGCAGAAGCCTCCAAAAAAGAACTTGCCCATTAATTTAGAATAGTAGATAAATAAAACATCTCATAGGATGTATGACTTCATATGAACCAGCACAAAGAAAAATACAACAGACTACAACAAAAGAAGACTTTCTGGCTGCGTAGACTAACAAGAGAATCGCTAAATGAACCCACAAGCATGGGGACCAAATCAGAGGCTAACTCCAAAATTACATAACAAAAACGATCAGGATGAACAAAAGCACATAAACAGGTCAACCCCTGTAAATATGGTCTATGTTGCGCAAAGATAGAGCAATACTGTTATTCTTACTAATGCCGCACATTGCAATCATCAATTCTGACTCATTTACACTACATGAAAAAAACATATCTCCACCAATTACTTCCAAGTATTATCCGAAACAAATTGAACCATGCAACCAATTCAAATGGTAACAAGTTTCTCAAAATTCAAAAAAAATCAAATCTTTTAAGGCACATTGGCGTACGATATTAACTCTGCATGCAAATAAAAAGCTGGAAGAACTCAGAGGTAACACTTTCTTAAATCTGGAAATTATTATAGGAAAGTCTTCTACGATGTATCATTCAGCAACAAGTTCAAATAATACAGAGTGGGGGAGAAAGGTAACAACAAACACAACGATAAGCACTAAACCATCCATGATGCACTTTGTATGAAGCACCAGTTCATCACATACAAGTATGAAAATGGCACAGTGTAATAAAAAATGAAACAAAACAAAAAATGCATGGTACTGACCAGACATATTAATGAACACCAAAACAAAACCAAAAACATGCAACCTCCCAAATCATGCAGAAATCCATGAAAGAATTCACTGTCAAACAAGTTATAACTCCAACTAAAAAAATACAATAGAACATGTTCACTCCAGATCACGTGATGAATGGTTAAACAATCACCAAAATTGACAAGAATCCCTAAAACAAACCACAAAAAGAGAGTACAACGAGAGAACGGTGAACCAGCAGAATGTAGGTAGAAAGGAGTGACACATTTGTTCAAAAAATGATGCAATATTAGAATAAATTAGAAAATCTACCTCAATAGTAAGGAGGCACCCCTTGGTAGATTCCCCCAGTTGGAACTCTGGGAGCTGGTGAGGTTCCTGCTGTCTGATGATGCTGGCTTTGATATCCAGACGAAGATAAGCCATAGTGTGCCCCCTGTTGATAATCTCCAGTTGGCATACCACCTGAGCTTGGTGGCAATCCATAAAAAGAACCACGACCAGCACCACCAACTCCACTCCCAACACCACTCAATCCTCCACCAGCTCCACCCAACCCACCATATCCAGTAGAACCAGGCCCACCATAATGCGTCCCGCCACCATAAGGACCAAGTCCACCACTAACACCTAAATTAGACCCCATCCCTTGGCTGCCAATACCGGACATCCCTGGACCACCAACACCAACGCCGCCACCACCACTACCTAATGACGAATTCAATTGATTCCCACCCACCGAAGGCACGGAAAATCCACTATATCCAGTTACACCACCAACTCCACCGTGCCCACCATATTGCGCAGCAATCCCACCAGGCATCCCCACCCCAATACCATCATTGTTCCCTTCATTACCACCCTGAGGCCCTCCAGGACCTGGCTTCTTCTTCCCATCAATAGCAAGTTTACAGTTCAACTGATGCCCATCTATATTCTTCACAGAATCCACCAAAGACGCCCTCGCAGCATTGGCAGTTTTATACACAAATAAAGCAAACCCTCTCGATTTCCCCGTTGCCTTATCAAAGCCTAATGGTCCCTCTTCTATTTCGCCATACATGGAAAAATGAGCTAACAGCCTCTCAGCCGGCATATCATAAGGTACATTTGCCACATAAATCTTCCTATCCGAAACATCCACCTGATTATTCCCCCCTCCGCCACCCGGCCCACCAGACACACCAGCAGCCGCTAGCTGAGTAACCGTCATCCGACCATCAATTTTCTTACTAGGTTCCTTAAGAGCTGCCATTGCCCCATCAATATGCTTGAAAGTGATAAAGCCATAACCTTTCGATTTTCCAGTGACTTTGTCGAGAATTACAACAGCTTCTTCGAGATCACCGTATTGGGAGAAGAGAGCTCGTAGCTTGTCCGTCGTGGTTTCCCAACCAAGGCCGCGGATGAAGAGCTTCCTCTGTGCTGGGTCCCGGTCGGCGATGGATCGTACTAGGTCGAGAACGTCCACGTGGCGAAGGATGGCTGATTGGACGATCTCGAGTAGCTGTTCGCGGGAAAAGGGTTCGAGGATTTTACGCGCGTCTTCGACGGAAAGCTTGAAAGGTACCATTCCTGCGGCGACGGCGCCGTCTGGATCGTGTAATAGAACGCCGTTTTCATCGAGCTTCCTCTTCTTAATCGGATCCATTGCTGATGTAATAGGAAGGGAAAGTGAAAAAAAGGAGATGTTAAAACCCTAATCCTAGTCAGAGTCAGGACCGAGAATTGAAGTGGAAATTAGACGGGCGTTTCCATTTATACGGATCGAAGATGACGTGGAGCGGCGGAGAAGAATCCAATTGAATTGGGTTGGGCTGGGCTTGTTGGAAGACGAAATTCTGGATTAAGATTTTTCAGCCTATGGGTTGTTCATGTTGCTTAGCAGTTAAAGCTACAACTAGCGACCCAAAATGCATGAAATGTTACACACACACAGGTAAAAAAGGGCAAAAACAAGGGCAATTTTCATGCTTGCGTGTAAAAATTAGATAATGATTTCCAACACCCGCTACGTGGTGCGCGTGTAAGACAATCGTAGGATTTTCCTCATTGCTTGCATCGAGCATCTAAACTGTTCACTCAACCAGTGCCAGTTCTCCCCTCCTCCATCTGACGATTGCTTTTGGAATTCTGGGGGCTATTCAATAAGATAACTATTCGTAGTACATTTTCTTTACTGCAATGCTCTTGTCTCCCTGGTAAGGCTCCCCATCACTTGCCTCTGTATTTTCTGTCAAATTCTTGATGTGGGTTTTTGCAATTTCAATTCATAGCTTCCCAAGTTGCAATCTTTCATGATCTCCTGTCATGTTTCCTCCACTTTCCAGAATTTGCTTGCTAATTTAATCCCACATTGTGCATTTCAAGTTATAGAACTCCAAGTAGATTTTATGTGCTCTTTTCCCCGGCAAAATTGAGTGGTCTGGATGGTTTTAGTGCAATTACTGATACCTATTTATACAAATGCAGAAAATATTGGAAAACCAGTTTGGAAATTTGCTTTTCTGCTTGAAGATTATGGCTAACATATTAGCATGTGTGGTGACGGTATTAAATAGAATGTAAGTAGTTGAATACAACCTTTTCCCTGTTTTGTGTTTATTCAGATAATTAGGGACATTTACTTGGGAAAATAAAAAGTAGGTCTTGGTGGCGCTGAATATTGGTTGATATGAAGCTTAAATTGTCAAAAGATTCGTTTCCCATCTGAACTTGCTAATAAAGCTTTTCTCGTCACTGGTTTCTGTACTGTCATTTATGTTATGACGTAGCCAGATAGAGAAAATTTGTGCCCTGATGAATGTTTAGTTTATTAGTGACACAACATTGCTCTCAGGAAGCTCTCCACTCCTATTCACAAGGACAACAGTCTACTAGTACCAAATTCTGGTTATGCAGTTGAACACATACGAGCACGATCAAGCACAACAGTGTTGATTGTTGGTGTGTCTCGTGTGAAGAAGGTCTCTTCCTTGGTTACCTGTGTTAGTTCGTGCTTGGTGCCTTATCATTGTAGAAGTTTTCCGGCCAGCATTAGTATTGCGGAGACATTTCACGTTGTGGATTCTTGTCAAAAAAACTGTTCTAGTTTATTAAAGGACCAACCTTTAACTGAAGATACTCGACAGGATAATCTTTCCAATCTGGCAAAGAATTCTAACTCTGAGAATGAAAGGGAAATGCAAAGAAGAAAAAGGATTGGACTAGCAAATAAAGGAAAAGTCCCATGGAACAAAGGCAGAAAACACAGTGAAGGTACCATGTTTAACTCCTTGACAGCATTAGAAATATTTCTCCTTCAAGCTTTTGTCACTCTAAATTCTCTTACTACATATGCAGAGACACGGGAGATAATCAGCCGAAGGACAAAAGAAGCCTTGAGAGATCCCAAGGTGAAGTCGTGTAAGAACCTACTAATTTAGAAAATATTTATTACTTCATGATTACAGTCTGCCAATAAAGTATGTGTTTGACATCAGATGGCTGCTCCTCTGGTCATACTGTTACATTTTGCACTAACTCTTCCCGTATATTATTAGCAGCAAAGGTCCGTGAAACCACATTCTTTTACTGCTATAATTTTCTGTAACATTTTCCTTCTCTGTAAAAATTATCAGGTAAGAGCGAAGATGTCTGAATGCCCTCGCTCGCTTAGGTACTTTCTATTTTCTCTCTCTCTCTAAATAGTCAATTTGCTTTTTTGATACTTATGCAGTATATTTGCTTTTTTTTTCTCTTCTTTAAATTTAAAATGCAGATTATACAAGTATGAAATTTGTTGTGCATTATTCCCAAACTTGTAGTCCAATATAGTCAGGAGCTGCTAAAATCCTGGAACACTACTTCAGGTGAATAGTCATTAGGCACCAGTATTGTGCTTTCTTGTCTTTGACTGGATTAAAGATGTAATTCTTTTGTTATCCGGTGGTTGACAAACTTTCTTCTTAATTTAACATGTGGCTACATATAAGAGCTAGAACCTGCCATAGAAAGATTGTGAATGGCCTATAGCTGCAGTTGACTCACCCAAGAGAACTAATTGAATGTATGGTGCAACTTTGCATGATTTATATTCAGCTTAACATGTTCTAGTGCCTACAATTTTATGTAAGATCCACTGCCAAGATATTTCATAACTTAGACCTTTTGAATTGAGATGCATCATTCACATCACAAATACTTTGTTTCTCCATTTTTCAATTACCCTGTTTTTCCTTGTATTTGACCCCAAAATTCACCCTTTTCATACACAGCATGAGCTCTCTAACTGTTTGTACCATTGCATGGATGCTTGACATACCATGTTCAACATTGACACTTAAGACTCTTGAGCTTGGGAGATTTAGAACTAAAGTGTTATTCTGTTTTGCAGTAATCAGACTAAGACAAGAATAAGCAGGTCACTGCAGAAGCTGTGGGGACAACGTTTGAAATGGAAAAGGTCAGAGGAAAAACTTTTGCAGTTATGGGCTGAAAGCATTGCTAGAGTTGCTAAGACAGGGGGTAGTGACCAACAAGAACTAGATTGGGATAGCTACGAGAAGATGAAAAGAGCAATAGCTCTCCAACATCTTGAGCGTGCAGCACAAATGGCAAAGGAAAAGGAAATGGCACATGTACTAGCAGAAAGAGCAGCAAAGGAAAGAGATGAAAGAAAGAAAATACTTGCTCAAAGGAAAAGGGAACTAGCGCAGAAGGCAAAAGTTAGAAAAAGGAAAAGGTCAAAGGAAGAGAGAGAAGAATTTGCTGCCAATCAAGAATCTAAATTGAAGGCAAAACTGACGAAGGTACAAACCTTTGAAACCCCACGTGAATGAAGCTAGATATAGTTTTAATTTTGTTCTCTAGACATGAATTTGCCAAAAATAAATGACAATTCGTTTGCACTTTAGGTTTTGAAAAGGACACCACTCTATGCCTTCGTACGGTGCTCATGTTTTAGTTACTGATACATTTTGCTGTTTAGAAGAATTTAAATGAGGGGTTCATAATTTAGTACATATGTTGCATTTAGGAGCAGATTATTTGTACTGATTTGTTTCCTTTGAAGAGGACCCATGCTTTGGAGTTACCTATGATGAACTCTCTAGTTGGGTTGTATCAAATTTCAGTCAGAACTGGATGCTGTTGTCTGTACTCTTTTTCTTTTTGTTTCAAATCTTAGATCGTGTTATCAGTGTAGTGGTTCATAGAGGTTGTTTTGGCTGTTTTCAGATCCACAAACTGAAACCTGCTAGCAGTCATTTCAGCAGTCATCACCAACGAACCTGGAAGAACGTGGATGTAGGAAAGTTGGATGCATTGTTCACAAGAACAGAACAACACCAAGTCTCTCTAGCGGATCAAATCCGTCTAGCCAAGATCAAAAGAGCTGAATCTGCAACTCAAGACAACTCCGAAATTAATTCCTGGTTACAGACCAAAGCAGAGGGTTGGTAGAATAAACTAAGATCCTAATCAGTCAATGAGAATGGAGCACTTTACGCATTATAAATATGATCTTTAGCTCAATATATGAATGTTGTCATTCTCCAATAAGTGAACATGAAAATGAAATAGATTACTGTAATCTTTTAGAATTCTGCTTTGTAACCGACAATTCTCATTCTGAATTAGGGGTTAGAGTGCGTTATATTCCTGGCTGACTCATTTCCATGTCCCAACCCGCTCCCTATTTTTGCTCCATTTGATTTGTTCCCGCCGCTCTCCCTATTTTTCTCCATATTTCTCAGAGAAGCAGGAACTGCGAGCAGTTAAATTACTGAATTAAGGTGGTAAAGAAATCGACAAAGAAGGGGAACTCATTTCCATTGTCAATGTTTAACTCTGTTTTTACTAACTTTTAATATAACCTAAGATAGAGGAGACATGGACACGTCACTGGTTTAACATCCTCTCTCCACCAGTAACCTCTCCATTGATATACAGAACTCTCGTGAACAGCTGGTAAGCCATGTTGGACAAGTATGCAGATAGCTTAGCGCTTCAGTAACATTTTGCGCTGTATTTCGAATTTCAGATCATGATGAGAAACTAATATTGGTTAAACAAGCATGATAGGCTAACAAGTTTCACCTGAGCTCCCACGGACATGAAAAATACAGGTTTGGGTAACTTGCCTGCCAATGATATACCAATTGTACATCACATTCAAGGCAGCAGGAGCAAAATATTCTTGCCACTCTCCTCCCAACTGTTAAACCACTTCCATTCAACCAAAAATAAACATATCACCAAACTAAACATCATCTCACTGGTTACCATATAAGCTTAGGCTTTCAAGACAAAATCCTAAAGATAACAAATTTCATTTACATCCACAGTCTGCTTATTGATAGTTTTGAGGCGGTGGAATATCCCTTCCAGGCATGTTCTGGTTCTGGTAAGGATTTCCACCAGCCACGTTTGGTGCATAATTGTTCTGATTCGGCCCAGGACCAGGTTGATAAGGTGCTCCTCCACTCTTCGGTGCATTATCATATTGGAAATTTTCTGCATTGTTTGGCACACCTCCCATGTTGTGCTGATTTCCGCCCATATAGCTTGATGGGGGCTGTTGTCCCCCATAGTTTGGTGGCTGTTGTCCCCCATAGTGTGGTGGCTGCTGTCCCATGTTGTAGTTTGGTGGCTGTTGTCCCATGTTGTAGGATGGTGGCTGTTGTCCCATGTTGTAGTTTGACGGTTGCTGTCCCATGTAGCCCGGTGCTTGTTGTCCTCCCATGTTATTGGATGGCATGCCACCGAGGTTGTTGGGTGGCATGCCACCCCTATTGGGTGCACCACCTCCCATGTTATTGGGGGGTATGTCCCCTGTATTGGTGGGACCAAAGTTCCTAGGCCCTCCAGGCCCCCCTTGGCCCATGTTTCTTCTCTCAAAGTTTCTGCTACGGTCATGGTTGCGTGGTCTGTCATTGCGTCTATTTCGCTCATTTGCCCGAGCATTGAAAAAAAATAAGGGAAGAAAAAGAAGCCTTAAATAATGTACAGAGATTCAGTGCTCAAAACTGCAACCTAGAAGGATAAACAAAGCTGCTGTTTGAGTCTTCTAGCAGCTAACTGTCCCGGTCATCTATTGAAGTGTCCCGGTCATATATTGAAGAGAAACTCATGGAGGGATATGTCATGGTTGTGTTCTCAGAAGATGATGAATTTCCCTTCTTTCCAGAGCCAGCAGAGACTGTATAAGTTGTGGTACTGTTATGCCTCAGAATCATAAGCTCCTCTATAATCCCAGGTTTTGCTATCTGTTTTTCATCCCAATCTATCTCTCCAGTCAACATTTTCACCACGGTAGACATGGATGGCCGGTTTTTAGGCACATCTTGGGTGCATAAAAGACTAATCTTCAGATACCTGGTAGCCTCATCAACATCAATATCCCCTCCCAAATCAGGATCAACCATTTGAACTAGCTCTCCTTTCTCAAAAAGAACCCACACCTGCAAATAAGAAGTCATTCAGGGAATGGAAAGGAGAACAAGGGAAAAAGGGAAGGCCAATTATCAGCAGAAATAACTAGACAAGAAAATGAATATGGAACTGCACACATGAACAGTCAGTTTCCAATTGTTATTATTGTGAACTCCTACTTGAGATTTGAAACATTAAGCTGCATTCAAACATCATCATCTCATATATTAATTGTGGCCAAACAACATTTCATCTCTCCAATAGAGCCATCTGGCAAAAGAAAACATAGTGATCAGAAAAATGCCAACACGAACCACTAAGTTAATACACTTGTAGACCTTCTTGATACAACAAACACTTTCAAATCATGAGTGAGGTAGACACTTGCACATTCAACTATAAGGATGATAAGGAATTCAACTGGTAATACATGGTGGTTAAAGGTTGTGGAACGAGAGAGTATGGTGATTATATAATGCAAAGAGCGGTTTTACAACTATCCCGTCAAATAGATTACAGATGTCAGCTACTCCCCATGTTGATAAATAGTTCAGTGACTACTTTCACTTATCTCTCCTCAGTTGTCATGACCTGCTTGTTGACAGAAAATGAGCAAAGGCCCAGAATCAGGCTAAAAGGCATAGTTAATGGATAACAGATGAATCCAAAGGCATTCACTAGTAGCATCAAGACCATGCATTTTGCTATCATCAGCTATACCTAAAATGTGTGATTATATTACTTAGATATGTTTACATTGTAGAATGGGAAAAAAGTGAAAAGGAAGGACAGATAGGTTGGCAACTTGAGTTTCAGTAGGAACTGCTTCATTATCTAATATTGGTTTATACTCATCATTTCAGGTTCTAAAAGGTGGAGGCTAGGTATCTTAATCCATTCTTCCATAGTAGACAAATTAGTACTCATCTACTCAGCACATCAGTTAATATCCTACTCATTTGTTTCTTGTAGCAAGAACTTCTTCAGATGGTAATTCAAAAATATATTCTACTTATAATAGTCCAAGGAATAAACCTCTCAGTATGAGCAAATGAAGAATTGCATACCTTTTCAAGAAGAAACTGTTCACCGACAGGCAACCGCTTGTTTGTGTTGCATCTACCACTGACAATCTCCAAAAGGAGAACACCAAAGCTATATATATCAGCTTTCCGTGTCAACTGGCCTCGAATTGCATACTCAGGGGCCAAATAACCTCTAAGAACATGCAACAATGTAGAAATTATAAGTAAAAAATACATTAGACTTTGAGTCATATAGATTAATTGCATTTGTTGCAAACTCTTTGCTTTCTTTGTCCATTTTCTTCTGCAGTACATTATATGAGAGGAAGGAGTTTAGATATATACTGAAAATAAACTTACAGAGTCCCAGCAACGCGTGTGCTAATATGGGTTAAACTAGACGGAAAGAGCTTCGCTAGACCAAAATCTGAAATCTTTGGTGTAAGGTCTTTATCAAGAAGAATGTTGCTTGCTTTTATATCTCTATGTATAACAGGGGGTTGGACTTCCTCATGGAGGAATGCAAGCCCTCGAGCAATCCCTATGCATATCTTAGTCCTCGTTTTCCAGCTAAATTGAATGCTGCTGCGGTGACCACCTATATATAATGAAATTTATAACCTACCTAAATCAAATAAAAATTACAGTTTTCGAAATGACAAGAGGCGATGAGTTACCAAGAAGAGTCTGAGCAAGGCTATTATTTTCAAGATAGCCATAGACCAATATCCTGTGGTCCCCTTCAGCACAACAGCCATGCAACTTTACCAGGTTTTCATGTTCTAGACCTGAAATTGTCACTATTTCCGTCAAGAACTCTCGTACGCCCTGAGTTGAATCAGCAGAAAGCACTTTTATAGCAGCCAGTGTTCCATCTTTTAGCCTCCCCTGACAATTAGTAGACAATTCAACTACATATCTCAAGCACCAGTAGCAAAGTAATTCCCCAAAGAAGGATGATATGAAACAAAAAGTATTACCTTATACACTGAACCAAACCCTCCTTTCCCAATTTTATTTACAGGACTGAAATCTTCAGTTGCAATTCGCAAATCTCCGTAGCTGTAGAGCCTAGCATTGTCTACATTTAAACCTTCTGTATACATTTTGAAGCTACTTAGAACAGTTTCATGCATATAAAAAACGCATCATTGTATATAGTATATATGCCATAAAAACATGTTCAAGAGCTGTTGCAAGCATTTATTGAAGAAAGTGATCAAGAATTAAGAAATGTGAGCTCATCATTGAAGTCAAGAATTAACGAAGGACCATTATCATGCTTCAGACAACATGAATTTATCCAATTCGGTATCTGGATAATAGATTGGATGTTAAAGTACCAAGTGACTCTTCCAGAAACCCACCTTCCTCAAGTTCTATTGTTCCCCAAGTTGGAGAAGAAGCTTTTTGTTTGAAACAGAAAGTAAAACAACTCCCTGCACCCATCTCGTGTGCCAATTAAGAATTCGAATCAGAACAAACTACCTGTCAAGAACAACTGTGACAAATAAATTTGTAAAGTTTAGAACTTTGTCAAGTTCTGATCTGACATTACAGGTCAGGTAAAGATTTATATAAATTAAGATTACTATTTTGCTATCGATAACACATAGTGTAACTATAAGATAAGTGAAGCAGAAATGATCTCTTTGAAGGTACAAATTGAAGGAATAAAAAGAAAAGGAAACAGAAAGGCTTAAGTTCTAATTCTGAAATTGATCAAGAAGTGAATCCTAAGACCTCTCCTGAGAAGACCCTATCGGTATTACCAGGCCAAAGGCAACGTTTGCATCATCATTTAAAAGAGGAATTTGCGAGGCACAGTACCTCAGGACCAAGTCAAAGCCATCCGCAAGAACTAATATGCACCAATGACGAATGAAAACTACATAAATTCTCCGTAAAAGGGAACAAAAGGCATCATAGCACCTACACAAGCATTTACCATATTGTTTTGCGCATTGGTTTTAGAAAAGCAGGATTCAGCAAACACACATTAGATTATAATTACTGGTTCCTGTTCATAATTCATATCCAATTGAGCCAGATTCAACAGGGCCAATCAGCTACCTTTGCAAAGACATCATAATAATAAATTATTTGCCAATAAGGATATAAATGACCTTTAAACTAGCTATAAGAATCACTGAAACCAAGGATAACATGCACTTATCAAGCTACAAACATAAGAATATGGTCTATAACAAGATTCACAGAAAAATTCACAATTCATCAAAGGTGCTTGACTAATCAAGCATGAAAAGGATTGAGAGAATCGCCGAAGTTCAGAGAAAAGCTATCCGCTATTGCACATGCTAAAGAAGGCCCAAAAATATCTTCAAGAAACAAAGAGATGGAAAGCTCACCTTTACGGTACTATCTTGGTGAACCAGGAGAGGGCTGGTGCAGGAGAATTGTAATGGCTTAAAAGTGGGCTGGGATGCTTTTATTTTCGCAAGACAGACTAAAATAAAATTAGAAATAGTCAAGTTTGAAGTTTCATTCCAGCATTTAGTTTTTACCTGGTCAGAGCCGTTAACTGATTTTGTTCTGTGCTCCAGTTCCAACTTCCAACTCCAGTTGTAGATTGGTAGGAACTCATTAATACACGAGCTGATGGGTTAATAGCTACGCGTAATTCTTGTCTTTGTTTTGTTTGGTTTCGAGGGAGACAGCAAATGGAAAAAGGAGGAGAAAGGTAGGGATGGCAACGGGCGGGGTGGGCCGGGGGACCCCTCCCCCAGCCCCCGTTCCCCCTCCCCCCGCCCCGTCCCGCCCGCCCCGCTTCCCCGTGGTGTTTTCACGGATTAATAAAAATTTGTTATATAATTTTATTATGATTAAATTTTAGCAAATAATTAAGTAGTAAAATATCAATATATCATCAAATTATTATTCATTGTAATTTTACAATTGAAACTTATAAAAATAATCAAATAAAAATTATTTGAATACAATCCAACATGATGAAATAAATATAATTAAAATAGTCAAGTTTTCACTTTTGGCACAAATACAATCACTAATTCATTATTGTGCTTGTGCTTTTTTTTTAAAAAAAAATGTTATTGTATTAAGTGTAATTAGGGATTTAGTATAAATGTATTAATAAATTTAATATAACCAATTAATAATTTATATTAGTACACATATATAATTATTAGTATAATTAATAATATCAATTATATTATATATACTAATAGTCATTATATAATACATATAACTAAGAATATCATTATCATAAATTTGTAACTAATTAAATTATATATTATATATATAATTATATACATATAAATTTTATATATTTATTTTTTTAAAACGGGTGGCGGGGCGGGAGTACACTCCCCCGCCCTCCGCCCCCGCCCCAGCCCCAGCCCCAATCCTTTCCCCATTAGCCTCCGCGGGCACCCGCCCCTATTGCCACCCTAAAAAGGGGGAGCCCATCTGAATAATTGTCACGACCAGCTCAATATAGTGAAGATTCTTTGCAATGACAATTCTACATTCGAAAAACAAATTGGGCCAATCTTAATTTATTGTCATTGCAACGATCGAACAAGAGGCAAGTGCAGGCCAAGGTAAAGAGTTTGAGCAGTGTAAATTCTGTACTCTAATGCTTATATAGTAGTAATAGGGCTGCAAACGAATCGAGCCGCTCGCGAGCGGCTCGAGTCAAGCTCGAGTCGAGTTCGATGTTAATCGAACTCGAGTCGAGCTCGAGCCGGCTCGAGTCAAACTCGAGCTCGAGCTCGAGCTCAGAATATTAAGCTCGTTAGCTCGCGAGCCGGCTCGCGAGCTTGGGTATATATATATTTATTTTTATTTTTATTTTTATTTAATAATAAAATTACGTATATTATATATATATTTTTTATTTTTTATTTTCATAGTAAAATTACGTATATGTCCTTAAAATTTTATTATTTATTAAGAAAAAAATATTATTTTATTTATTTATTTTTTAAATAAAATATTTATTTTTTATTTTTTTTCGAGCTCGAGCTCGGCTCGACTTGATTCGAGTCGAGCTCGAGCTCGAAATTTGCCGGCTCGTCGAGCTCGAGCTCGAGCTCGAGCTTGGTAAAATTTAGTCGAGGCTCGGGTCGATTAGCTCAAAGCTCGACTCGGCTCGGCTCGTTTGCAGCCCTATTTGTAGTAGTAAAAACCGAACAAAGGTAATCGCAAATGATTTACGGCGAGAGCTGTCACGTGTAAAAGGGACAAGAATTTTAGACCATTGACCTTCAACATGAATGAATAACACGTGGTAGTTTTATGTTAGCAAAAAGTCGTCAGACAACACCGGTCAGCGAAGTGTTTGGATTGTAAAAAATTATCACATATATTAAATCGTTATATTTTTAATTATTTTTTTATTTTATATATATCAAATCGTTACAGTATTTTTTATAAAAAATTACAAAGAAAATGCCATTCATACTTTTTCTTAATCATTCAACTCATCCTTCTCTCAAACTTTTCATTATCTAAACTTTGCTGCAAAATGGCTGATTTGTATATTATATATAAAGCATGAGGAAGGAATTTCATATTAAAATTTTGTGTGATTTTATTATTCTACTTTCACAAAAGCAAAAGTTTGCTAATAATAATTTTCATTACTATTAATTTTTTATTTTAATTGTTTTCTTAATTTGCACGCCCATGAAGTGCGATTTTCCCACTAGATTGATTGAAGCACGTTGTAAGGAATCAATTACTATATTTTTTTTGAACTTTTATACATATGCACGAAAGAAAAGGCACTTGATATTTAATTCAAGAAATTTCTGATAGACGTTGGAAAATACTACTACTTTTAGTCATAAAGATTAATAAGATCCCAATATTTTGCATGCACAATAAATTAATGACCAAACATTAGAGAATCCAACTCATTGCAAGCAGATTAGCAGAGTTAAGGTACCGGAAACAACACACATTACATGTCCAAGAGTGCAAGTTTTCTTTGACAGCACAGTTGCATCAAGTTCTTGCTTTTTTTCTTTTCACGTTTGGTAGCCAATTTCTTTGTAGGTAAAAACAACGGAGGACCCAAAACCACAACAACAACAACAACGGGAGCTTCTCGAGCTCATAATTTGTACATGGGGAAATTTGGCACGTACAAGGTTTTTCTTTGGAAAATTCATAATTTTTTCCAAGATTCATTTGCTTAAATAACAAAATGTTATCCCTCAATCGAAATTTTAGAGACGGCATGCAGGGTCCATCTCCCGCGTGATCTTGCTGTTTTCCAAATCTTGACCTTTTCTAAACTGAAGTCTAGAAATTCGGCTTTTATAAACCTAATCCCAGAAGAAACCTCAAAAGCCGGCAACTCTTGAGGTCCTTCCAGGGACTTATAAACCAAACCCAAACCCCCCCCCCAATCGGGAGAAGTAAAATCGGGAGAAGTAAAATTCGCTACATCTACAACTTTTTGTGTTTTGACTGACAAGAAGAAGAAACGTCAAAACTCGTGTGCCCACCTCAGCTTCTCGCTGCAATCGGAAAGGGCAGAGCAACTTCAAAACGGATAACGGTCTCAGAAGTCCCAAACCAGTGAAACCACTGTCCCAACTCCCAACACATCATCCATGAGAAAATGAATCTGGTTCTTGACTACTCCGACATTAAAGGCCCAAATGACAAATGCAACCAGCTCGTTTGACTGGCTGCTTAAGCGCGTTGTATTCTTGGAACTTTAAAAACTAGTGCAAATGTTTTGACCTCTGATGACCAATATAAGCCATCCCATTGCAAAGACAACGTAAAAGCCAAAAGATACGAAAACTGAAAATCTCAGAACACCCAAGCTCCAAAATTTATTCTATATCATACACGTCTACATACACAAGGTCGATTAGTTCATCATCGGATTTCTTTGGGGAAGGGGACGAGAAAGGTAAGAGGGAGTCCGGTTCCAAGCCCACTAACGAACAAAAACCAAGAACTTTGCAAGTTCTAGAGCCTTCTCGCGCCCAAAGAGCTTCTCTGTAATAGCAAACGCGAACTCCAGTGAGGTTCCTGGCGCTCTACTAGTGATGAGATGGCCATCCACAACCACCCTGTTCTCTGCCTCGCTTGGATCAGTCAGTTTGTCGCACAGTGCAGGGAACGCAGTAGCCTTTTTACCCTGAAGAGAGCAAAAGACATCATATCAAGGTGAAAAAGAATACATACTTAAAACTGAGTAGGTATTAGTGACAAAAACGGACATGAAACTACCCAGTGCAGGGTAAACCAAATATTTTGACATCAGAATGGTAGCCTTCAAACTAAACGAGGTACACAAAGAAGAGACGAGGCTGATGGAAGCACTACAAATTTCGAGGCAAAATTTCAGGAATTCATGAATTTGTTGACTTCCAATATGCTTGAATTTTGGAGAAAAGCTTTATACTCCTTAGCTGCATATACCCAAATTGAACACTAAACACGCAGTGACGCATCTCAAAATGCTACCTTGAGCAAGCCGTGTGGTTCCAAGACTAAAGCAGGGGAAGCACAGAATGCTCCATACGGTCTATTAGATTCACGCTGCTTCTTCAGCAAATTAATTAACTTTCCTGATTTCGCAAAGGCTTGCGCGCCACCAAGTCCTCCCTGAATATGTACAAAATGTTAAAAAAATCAGACTGCATTTTCAGGTGTTGTTGGCTTGATAGAACAAATGTAGCTCTCATACCGGCAACACAATAACATCATATGAGCCATTAACAACATCATCAAGGAGCACATCTGCAACGAGTTTCACTTTTCTAGAAGCCACAACTTCTAGTTTATCCTCAACAGATGCCACCAGAACTTCAGCATTTACCCATCGAAGTACATCAATAATAATAAGAGCTTCCATTTCCTCAGTGCCATTAGCAATAGGTACAAGAATCTAAAAGGCAAAAAGAAGAGGAAAACTGGATGTAAACACATGATTGTGCAAAACAATGTTAATGGCTGTCAATTGCATATTCAAAACAGTCATTGATTTTTAGTTCACAAAGAATACAAAGAGGAGGTTTGACACAAAAAGTCAAATTTTGGAATGTGAAAGGAAGAGAAGCAGTTTGGTTACCTCTAGAAGCAGCAAAAAATTTAACCTGAATAAGGTCTTTGATAGTAGAACAAGTTGACATGAATTATCAGCCTAGACATACTGTGACAGAAAAGGCAAAGTATATAATCAACAATGCAACCTAACTGGCATGGCTTGGTAGATAAGGAATTATCACATCACAGGCCCCTCAATTTGTCATGGACATGCATGTGAGATTACTGGAGGTTGAACAAATTGAAGTACCAGACTAAACCTACATAGTGATTCAAGTCGAGGCAGGGGTATGACATCGTGGCTTGGATGAGATGTACTAGTACAAAAAAGTATTAAGCAACAACCTAAACCTAGACATAAATTACCTTAGGGGAGCCATCACATGTCCAATTGACTCGATTAAATTCAGCAAACAGGAATTCAGCCCCGTGAATGGTGCGCATAACCTAGGAATAAACAGCTTGTGAGAAATGCTTATACAAAAATTATGCAAGAAGCTAATTATGTAAAAACTGCCGCACAGAATAGATAGATGCATCAGGAAAAGTAGTAAGCCAGATAATAACAAAATGGTCGATTGTGATCCTCTAGA